CATTCATATATAACAAATTGTTATGATGCAAGTGCAGCCTTATTGCAGAAATTATTGAATGATCACAATTTATTACATGTGGGAGCGCATGCACTTTCCTCGGTGAGGTTCACGCACTTTGAAGGCATCTCTCATGCTAGGCTCGACCGTGTATATGTATCTCTAAGCTTGTGGTCTCAAATTTATAATTATGCTGTAAATCCCATATTTTTTACAGACCATTGCTTCGTCACTCTTTCTTGGGGTCCTAAAAATTTTCGTAAAACCCCTCTAAACTGGGACCTATGGCAGCTTAACGTACAGTTGTTGCGCGAAGATTGTTTTGTTAAAATAGTAAAAGAATCGGTACAAGAGGTAACACAGTGTCGAAAGCTGCCAATTTTCGCTCAATGGGTAAGGTTCAAAGAAAGAGTGAAGTATCAGGCAATTAGTATTTCATGCGAAATAGCGCAAAGAAAAAAAGCTGAAAAGCGCTATCTTTATGAATTACTTCATAAGCTCCATACTTTTGAAAGTCAACAGCCGGGATTGTACGGGGACGAGATAAATGTGTTTCGAGCACAGATGCAAAAACATGATATAGATTTATACAGAGGAGCTAAGCTTCGTTCCCGTGTTACCCATTCCACTGAAGAGGAACCCACTAGAAAATCCCTCGGGGATGAAAAGAGATATGCGCTTTCTAAACAGATACCGCAAATTAAGTTGCGGGGCTCCCTTTGCACAGAGACATGTGAAATAAGAGCCGCATTTCAAGATTATTACAAGTGTTTGTTCACCGCAGCTGAGCTTCAGGAGAATTTTGAGGAAGAAGCTAACCACTTCATAGCCCTTGTGCCTCAGTTACAAGATGATGATAGACTCACTCTAGAGGGGCCAATAACCAGAGAGGAAATTAGATTTGCAATAACAACGTTGCAGAAAAACAAATCTCCTGGCCCAGATGGCCTTAGTGGCGAATTTTACATAGCTTTTCAGGAACTTCTGATACCTTTCCTTGAGCAACCTTTTAAAGAGGCTTATGACCACGGTGAACTTCCTCCTTCTTTCTATCAGAGCCATGCAACATTAATTCCAAAAAGTGCTGATCCTGACGAATTAAAGGGAGTTAACGAATACAGGCCTATATCGTTATGTAACGTTGAAAATATTTGCTAAATTGTTGACGAATCGGCTACAAACAGTGATTACTAAGTGTGTAGGTAACCACCAAACATGTGGAATTCGTGGTCGCTCTATACAGACAAACATTCATATTGAACGTTCAGTTCTTTTGTGTATAGATGGTAGCATGGACCAAGTAGCCCTCCTTCGAATAGACCTTGCAAAAGCATTTGATAAGGTACAGCATGCTTTTGTTCCGGCTCCTAAGACACCTGCAGTAGAGTGATGTACTATACAATGGTATCTCACTCTGTTATAAGAAGTGCACAACTTGGCTAATTGTAAATCGCACACTTTCCAATATAATAGAGTTAAATTCATCTGTACGTCAGGGATGTCCGCCGTCACCTTTGCTTTTTGCAATTTATCTGGAACCATTATGTTTAAGTGTGCTTCTAAAGTCCAGCATAAGAGGCTACCGATATGATGCTGAGGAAGTTAAAGTTCTAGCTTATGCAGATGACATTGCCTTCTTTTGCGCTGATAAACCCAGCGTTCAAGAAGCAGTCAACACTACTTTACGTTTCTGTGAAGTCGCTGGCGCCAGCATAAATTTTGATAAAAGTAGTGGATTCTGGCTAGGCATGTGGGCTACAACTCCTTCGGTCTTCGCAAATATTCATTGGAATGCGACTCCTATGAAATACCTTGGTGTGCCTCTCGATAACTATCGTAACAGCGGCCCATACTGAACCGCTGCGATAACTACTATCCGCCGAAAGGTGGCAACATGGCACGGACGGGAGCTTTCCATTTTTGCCAGAGCGAAAGCGTGCAATATATTCCTTGTATCGAAGCTTATTTATATTCTGCAGGTGTTGCATTGCTCTCGGGTACACATTCAATCCTTTGATAGGATATTTGCCTGCTTTATTTGGAGCTTTTCCTGGGAACCCATGAGAAGAGACAATCTTTTTCTTCCACTTGAGAAGGGTGGCCTCGGCCTTGTGCATTTGTTCGTGCGACAGTTGGTGTTGCGATTTTTCTACCTCAAGGATGTGTGCCACCCTTTTCTATTAGCGGTTCTTCGTAACCGTCTATGTTACCACCTTTCTTTTATTCATGTCACAACAAGCGTTGCTAAAGAATTGCCGTTGCGGGGATTCCTAAAAGAAATTGTTGATACTGTCAGTTTTTTGAAAGCCAGGTTTACCTTAGAGTATTTGTATACTATTGACAGAACAAATTTAACCGCTGCACTTGTAAATAACCTTTTCCCCAAATCTGTGTATCGAAAGCCATATTTACTTCTGCCTGGTCACGATGTATTATTTCGTGTACGTAGAATGTGTATATCTCCTTCAGCGAAAACATTTTTCTTTGAACTGCACACTTCCACGCTGCCAGTGAAAACGTGGCTGAATGAGAAATCAATATACGTACCCTGGACAGTGAATTGCAGACTTTGCAACCAACCTGAGACTATAGAGCATTGTTTTATTCATTGTCGTGATGCTTTTTATTTTTGGGACATTCTAAAAAGAACGTTAAGAAAACAACTTCCGATCACAGCCCAAGGTATTAGGTTCCTTCCGTTCAAAAAGAGTCTGACTGATAGTACTCCTTACGACTTGCTTATGTTGTTGGGACTTTATTCATAATGGAAAAGTCGCATGATCGATAGACACGCCGAGCCACCACGGTCGACGAGATCTGTCTTCCGATAAGCAGCTGCTCAAGTGCGCAGTGTCGTCGAGACTTTTGACCCCGTTCCGGAGTGGCTACCCGTTCTTGACGCTTGTGTGTGTTTGCCTGACATCTGAAGAAGTATGTTCTGTGTACTTTACTGGTGATAATTTCGTTCATTAAAGAAAAAAACCGGTGTAGCTCAGTGGTAGAACACTCGGCTGGCACACAGTGGACCCGGGTTCGAGTCCCGCTATGTCATTGGTTGTAGTTCAAGCCTGCCTAAAGCAAGTTTGTCAGCAAATTACAAGCACAGGCGTAACTCAGTGGTAGAATACTGGGCTGGCACCCAGGTTTTAGCGACCCACTGTGTCATCGGTGCTCGTTTTTTTTGTTTTCTTCTAATTTCGCGCGATGTGGTTACGGACACCGGCGGCGGTGGCGGACAACTGCGCGTGACACCAATTGTGATCTTATAACAACTTTCACTGTAAAACAGAAGAGTTTATTACGCTGTTCTGACAATGCGACGCTTTGAACGAAAAGAAAGGGATTTCATGCGCTTCGTTAAAAAAAATTCAGGAACTTTCTACCACCTACCAGTGGCTCTGCATTCTAAAGAACTTTCGTTTCTTCCCATTACTTTCAGTTCAGACCATATCTCCTACCGCGCCTCCAGACAAAAGACGATCGTCTTTCAAGAACATTTGCAGAGAAGCACAAAGTTACGTGGTCATTTTTTTTATACTTCATACCTTGCAGACCCTTGCTGATCGGAGGAAGGGCATTGACACCTCTACCCTCTGCATACGTACCCTTTTTCACTTTTCATGCAAAGCTGGCGTGGAGCTCCTCAGTCTACACTGTCCTGCCTATACGTAATTATTGAAAGAACAACACCCTTCTTCTACATCCCGATTTGGAAGGGGTACAAAAGGACGTACTCGTGAACTCCCGTAAGGTTATAACATTAGCCCACTTGGGAATTAGTAGCGGCTTCGAGCACATGATTGGGTGTGAGCCTATCACCCCTCCCGCTTTTCCACTTTTCCCGTCAGTGACCTTCGGTTCTCCTTTTTTCTAATAAAAGAACTTACATACCTATTTATCTTAACTTCGACAAAGAATTTTCTGACTGCGCTTTCGAAACGTGGGTATTTGGTGAGACACTTCCTGCCAGCCCAGTCTCCTTGGAAATTGGACTATGCTTGGCGTTCTCCCAATCTGCACGATGGGAATAGCCGCACATAATATATATGCTGGGAATAGCATCTATATTCTGCTATTTGAGCCACGTATAATTCGTGGTGAACTCTTTCTGTAATTACCATGTATACCTTGTCGCATGCGTTGCGTTCACGCCAACTACTGACATATAGCCTCATTAGGACCGGCCATACACATTAAGGCAGCGAAGTAAAACAATCTACATGCATGCCCATGCAAGCATCACTAACAGCTATAGTGTTTATTCACAATAATTACCTTTTATGCAGTAGTACGTATATTCGTCCTGTACGCTTTCCAGACAATTTACTGCTTTTAGCAGTAACCCTTGTGAAACTCAAACCATTGTATGTCTTGCTATATGATTTTGGTTTGGTGACAAATGCTTTCCTCTGTGTGTGTGTGTGTGTGTGTGTGTGTGTGTGCGTGTGTGTGTGTGTGTGTGTGTGTGTGTGTGTGTGTGTGTGTGTGTGTGTGTGTGTGTGTGTGTGTGTGTGTGTGTGTGTGTGTGTGTGTGTGTGTGTGTGTGTGTGTGTGTGTGTGTGTGTGTGTGTGTGTGTGTGTGTGTGCCTTTTGCGCCGAGAAAAATACGGCATGGCACGTGAGCACAGTCATATGCCGTGCTCGGAGTAGCTCGCTGTCACCCGCTTTCTTCCAGGAGTCTAAATTCCTCTATTTGTGACCGAATTCTCTGACGACCACTTTTGGCGACATTGCCAGTTCAGTGAGATTTCACAGGTCTACCGCTGAACGCGCTATGCTCGTCTACAGGTTCCAGTGCTTTGTTCAGCTTGACATTATGCTAGATTCTAGAGAACGGCAGGCCGGAAACGTGTGCCCAGTGCACGCCTATGCATAGTGAAAGCACGCCAAAAATAACAGTGTCGCTAAAGGAGATGTCTTATATTAATACCCGTAGTGCTTGCCGCCTTAGAAAATGAACTGCTGGGGGCATTCGTTTTCATCTACTTGTGTTTTTGCAGAAGGGCACATCGGCAATGTCATCCCCTTCGCCGAAGACAATCACCAGCTGGCTCTGTGCATGGAACATGGGCTGTATCGACTGGACCTGGGCGCCCGCGAGAAACAGTTGCTGGTCGAGATGGTCGACACCCAGTCACCGGTGAATTCCAGACTGAATGACGGAAAGTGCGACGCACTGGGACGCCTGTGGACTGGTAAGAAAGAGAAAACTTCAGTTTATTCGTGAGTTGGCTCGCATGATGCCGTACCACATGGAGGGCTCTGGTTTTTTTAGCATGTTTTAGTTGTGGTAACTTGACCATTGACTAGCGGCGCCATTCATTTTCTTATGCTGCGTTTATTTAGACAAACGACAGAACATTTGTAGAGGGCCCCATGTCGGAAAGTAGTCAGAATGATTGGCTGCTCGCCCGAAATTACGGGTCCCCTTATGGCAACATGCCCTAATTTCATTTTAAATATTTCTACGCAGAGTATCTAAAGAATGCGTATAAACTGTTATTCAAAGCCACTATCATTCCCAGAAGGCCACTTTGGTGTTGCTGCTCATTATGGGAATGGCAACTGCAGGATCAATGCCATCTATGGGAGTGCGGAACATGGTACCCGAGAAGTTCAATTTATGGTCTTACTCGAAGGGACAGCTGGAGCACAAGTTGGACAGGGTGACCATCTCCAATGGCATCACGTGGACGAACGACAACAGGATCATGTTCTACGACGACTCGGTGCCCAGACAGATCTACGCTTTCGACTTTGACCTTGCCACTGGAGAGATTAGTAAGTGGGTTTGTTAATAGAAAGCTTAGCTCGATTAGCTGCGAGACAATTTTGCAGCGGTTCTGTCGAGTAGTGTTGCACTAGACATTATGATCGGGAGCTTCTGTTACTGAGGCAGTTGATGCATTATTATGAACATGAGCTATACAAAACACTTTACAGGAATAAACGTTGTGGACGAGAGAAATGCTCACTTGTGAATGAGACGTATTGAAAGATACCAGGAACGCCGAGTGTGCGTGCATGCTTCGCAAGCACAGCCCATACTTAAACCCGCTTAAAAGTTTATTGTAATATTGTTTAGCCAGATAGACATTTTTATGTGTGTCAGCAGGACTGACGGTACACGCACGCACATGCCTCATAGCGTGTGTATTTGGCCAGCGTTTTCCTCATTACAAAATAGTTTAATAATTGCTCAGGTTTAACGAGCCAGAACCACAATTTGATTCTGAAGGTTCATCGTAGAGGAAGGCTCTAAACATGTCGAGCATCTGTGATTTTTTCAAGCCCACATAAGTCTAAGTACACCGAACTCAAGCAGATAGGCCTACATCTAAAAAACAAATTCACCGCGAATCCACTAAGTGAATGATGATGAGTGGGTGAACCGCGGGGACCACTTACCTGCTTTAAGCCAAGTGTAGGAAACGTTTCAAACGGTCCTGTACATTCCTTTACGTGGTTCAAAGCGGGTAAGTGATATAGTTTTGGTGGGCAACTGGAGCAGCCCGTAACGCTTTCAGCGTTTTGCAGCCGCTTCGAGACTCGGATCTTTCAGTGCTAATAAAACTGGCAAATGAAGATAACGTCATTGTGAATGTCAGCCGCCTTGGTAACACACATTGTGTGAGAATTACGTTCAAAGGGGACTGTCTCCCCTCCCATGTGAAGGTTGGCCACTTTCGTCACCAGGTCCGACCATTTATTCCAAAACCTATGTGATGTCATAAGTGCCAGAAGATCGGCCATGTGCAGGGAGCGTGCAGGAACTCCGAAGTGTGCCCCCGATGCTCAGAACCACATACCGACGACAAATGCAGCGCAACCATACTAAAGTGCCCTAATTGTCAAGGGGCCCACAGTGCATCTTCCAAAGACTGTCCACGCATAAAGAAGGAGTTTACTATTCTTAGACAAATGGTGCGAGACAGCTCTACCCACAAAGAGGCTGCGGAAAAAGTCCGGCGAAGACGACGACGTGACCGTCGAAGATCTTCGCGAAGAACGCAGTCAACTACAAGAAGTAAGCCAACGCATCTGGGAACGGCGCCCACTGCAGAGTACACCGCGGCGAACGGAGACGATGGAAGACAGAAAACAAGTAGATCTCTCTCTACTGAAGATTGGCCGCCACTTACGCGCACGCAACTTGTGGAAGAACCACATCAGAAGCCGCATTCATCAGAGCAAGCTGCGACAACAGAGGAGCAGCGGAACTTGGATAAGCAAGTGATTGCTCTTCTACGACCCATAATTAATGCCATTCGCACGGTGTTAAACAACATGCGCACAACGTCAGCCAAAAGTGCACTTCAAGTACTGGACGCTTTGAGTCCAGTACTGGCGGCTCTTGAGTAGATAATGGCCCACCAGCCACTGCCTTTCACGGAAGAGGTCAAGAAAGCAACAATTTTTTAGTGGAATGCACGGGGACTGAAATCACGCATTGCAGATTTCCGTCGGTTCGTTTCCACTAATATGTTTCCCATCATCGTCATCTGCGAGCCAAATTTATCGAGCGCTATTAGACTCTCCGGATACGAATCCTTTATGTGGGCTTGTTATAGTAGAAACAGCAAGGTCCTGCTGTTTATTCGACGTGACCTGACCTACATTATTCGGCCTGTACCACCTGATAACGATAACCAATATAAATGCTTAATAGTGAAGAAAAGGGGTCTTACTGTCACTGTTGTCGGTGCATACCTGTCGCCATCAAGTAGATTTGACCACAAAAAACTAGGACACATCCTATCATCCACTCCTGGCCCATGGGTGATCATCGGAGACTTCAACGCCCACCATACGCTATGGGGGAGCCCGAAGATCAGCGCAAAGGGTAGAAGTCTGATAACGTTTGCTTCAGACAACGAGCTATGCTTGTTAAATAATGGCAGCCCCACATTTTTACGTGGCCCTGGATACAGCACTTGCCTTGACTTGGATTTTGTTTCTCGAGGTCTCGTCAGATGTGCCGGATGGTTTGCGGACATAGAAACACATGGGAGTGACCACATTCCCACATATGTCAAGATCAGAGGATTATCACCTTGCAAGGTACGCGAAACTATCCAAAGAGTGGACTGGACCAAGTCTGAATCTCTCATGGAAGAACGCTGTCAAGAGAACACCTCATTTGACTTAGAAGAGGTGATCAAGTCCACAGTGCAAGACACAGTGTGCACCCTCATATGCTCTTCGAGAGTAACCGAATTTGATGTGGAATTAGAACGACTTCGGGCTCTCCGACGGCGTGCGGAACGAAGGTACCGACGCACGAAAGCAATCGACGATTTACGAATCGCTAGACGTCTTCAGTAGAAGATACAACGCCGCAAAGACAAGCTAGAGTCACAACGTTGGGCAGCCTTCTGCGCTTCGTTAGATCCTCGCAAGCCTTTATCACACTTGTGGAGGACAATAAGAGAGCTCCGGACATCTCCCAATCAACGGTCCCCATTCAAGGCTCTAGCCCTCTCTCAACAGAGATTGGAGGTCGACGTGGCAGAAGAGTTCTGTGCCAACTTATCTGGTCAACTCGCAGATCCCAACATCTCCACGTTCTCACGTGGTGGCACGACATCACACGATCACCACATGAACCAATTTTTTTCTATTCATGAGCTTAAAGCAGCACTGGCTTTGTGTAGACGGACATCAGCACCCGGGCCTGATGGAATATCATACAGAGCACTGTGTCACCTTGGTGAGTGTGCGAGGAGTGCCCTCCTTGAGATATACAACAATTCGTGGTGAGAGGGCACCCTCCAAGTTAACTGGAAGACCAGCCGTTTGGTTCCATTACTGAAGCCTGGCAAGTCACCATTGGTGCTCACATCATACCGCCCGATTGCACTGGCTAGTTGCTTGGGCAAAGTGATGGAGAAGATGGTACTTGGACGGCTAGAATGGTTCCTGGAGCATCACAACATCTACCCGGACACTATGACGGGATTTCGCCGTGGCCGGTCACCAATTGATAGCGTCATAGCTACGGTCAGCTACGTGCAACACGAAAAAGGCCGTAAGCGTCTCTGCGCTTCTTTATTTCTTGATGTTAAAGGGGCGTCCTCACCGCTCTCAAGGAGGTAGGAGTCCTCAGCTGCTGTCCTCACCGCTCTCAAAAGCTCTCAAAAGGAGTCCTCAAAAGCTGTCCTCACCGCTCTCAAGGAGGTAGGAGTGGGTGGTCGGATGTTTCAGTGGCTACGCAGCTATCTCTTTGAGCGATCCTTTTTCGTGAGAACCGAGGATGGTGACACTTCGCTACATTACAGCCACCGTGGTGTTCCCCAGGTTGGCATACTTAGCCCTGTACTATTCAACCTGACGCTAATAGCTCTCAATGAGCATCTGCCAAGTACTGTCAGATTGTCAATGTACGCGGATGACATCTGCGTTTGGACGTCTGCAGTAACACGTCTACAGCTGCGAGCGCGAATTCAGAGAGCTGCCACTCAAGTTGCTATTTACCTCCGTCAACGAGGTCTGGAAATTTACTCTGAGAAATGTGCACTAGTGGCATTTACGCGCAAACCAATGCATAACTACAGCGTTCTGATAAACAGCGAAAGAATACGTCACCTCCGATCATACAAGTTCCTAGGTGTTATAATTGACAGAGACCTCTCATGGAGCTCACATGTATCATACATGAAAAGGCGATTGACAGGCATCTGTCATTTGTTCAAGTTCTTCGCTGGAAAGAACTGGGGAATGTCCACAACTGCTATGTTGCGACTATACAGGTTTCTTTTCCGTGGATTCCTTCGGTACAGCCTACCTGTGTTAACCAACGCAAGTAAAACAAGCATACAAATGCTTCAAAGTGTCCAGGCTCAAGCACTCCGGATATGTTTAGGCTTGCCCCAAAGTGCGTCAACAGCGGCAACTATCGCCATCACAAGGGACAACCTCATCAAGACCCACATTCATGTGGAAGTGCTGAGGACACATATACGACACCTTGCTCGAACCCCTCGACATCACCTAGCCCCTGTACCAGTGGTCCGACCATGCACATCTTACTGCAAAACAGTGACCGCACATGGTGAGTCGATCCCAACTTCGTTCTCTCCTGCCGCTAGAGCTGTGACTCCGCCATGGTGCCTCGCTCAACCAATGATTAATATTAACATGCCTGGCGTCGAGAAAAAGGCCAATTTGTCGTCACCGGCTCTTAAACAGCTCACACTACTTCTCTTGTAGGAGAAATATCAAGACTCCACACATATCTACACTGACGGATCGGTTCAGCCGGACAGCTCTACAGGAGCAGTAGTGATACCAAGGTTGGCCACGACAATTAAATTCAAGACATCTCACGCAACAACATCAACGGCAGCAGAATTGGCAGCACTTCGTGCCGCGTTGCAATTTGTAGTTGATCAACCTACACGCAAGTGGACTATTTTCTGCGACTCGAAGGCGGCACTGCAGTCTCTACTATCAGCCTTACGCCGTGGACCACACGAGCAGCTGGTACTAGAGATAGCAGAGGCTATACACCACCTGACTGAGAAAGGGCACCAAATTACATTTCAGTGGTTGCCCAGTCACTGCGGAATCTTCGGCAATGAACGGGCCGATCAAGCTGCCCGCTCAGCCCACACAGAAGATCATAAACTGCGACTACCACTTTCTAGGACGGATGCTGCACGAGAGCTCCGCAGACTTGCTCGCCGGCAAGCCACATCGCAATGGAATCAGCCGCACTTCAAGCATGCCCGACTGTACTCGCTTGACCCTACGCTAAGTCTTCAAGTCCCATCGAGGCTTCG